TGGCTTGGATGGATGACTCAATAAAACTTCAGGGTGCTAAAGAGAGAAAGAAGACAGAAAAAGATGGGGGAAATTTGGGATAGTAACAGTGTGAGAGAGAAAAAGAAAAGATGTAACAAGAAAATAATTTAAAATAATAACTGCAACATTAATTTACTAAGACGATAGAATTTTAATTTGCAGTTTTAGCATGCAATACTAACCAGCTTTTGAAACATGAGAAACATGGAGAGTTACCCTCGTGCAAGTTCCAAACCTGATCTTGATTTCTCCATTTAACAGTTTTAGCAAGTCCTCAAACATTAAACATAGTCCTGTGGTGGGTTCACAGATGACAGTTTTACAAGTTGAGCAGAATTTTAACTTCTTGTGCTTCATTTATATAAATTACAAGACAGCTAAATGGCTTAGAAAAATAATTCATTAACTGACATTATCTAAATGCTGAACACAATTGCTGGGTTTTTACTTTTATTTTTACAAGACATCCTGATTTCCCTGGTAGCTTTTTTCTTTCTAAGTTGCTACACTGAATACATAATTTATCATTCCTTCTTTAAAAAAAAAATAAAATGAAAACAAATCTTCAGCTGAGAACAAAACCCAGTATTTCTATCTCATGTACCAATATTATCAGGAATATTTTCAGCTGTGGCAGGAAATCCATGCTTACAAAAATGCAAAAACAACAGAGCCTGTATTAGACAACTGAGCTAAATCTTGAGAAGCACAGATTTTAGGTCAACACTTTATCCATTCATTTTTTCCTGTCTTTTGAAAGATACTATCCACCTGAACTTGAAGGAAGACCATCACAGCAGGAAAAAAAAAAAAAAATCTTCTGAGTGAGCCTGTTGAATCTAGAGATATTTTCCTGGCAGGGAAACACTGCTAACATTCTCTATGAAAAGTTCCTAGAACTGCACCAAGGGGAAGTTTGTTAACATATGGTTTCAGACTCTTCATTTTCTCCAACCTTGTTCCCTTTCAAATAAGGGAAATATCTATTTTAGGGAAAGAACTATGCACTAAAACTGAAGACAGACAAAAATCCACTCATCTTTGCTGGAACAAATTCTGATGTTAGTTGGCATCTCCCAGATTAGAAAACCAAAATGAAACAAAGCATATGAGCTGGGAAAGACATGGCAGAAAAAGCTAGGAAACTAGTATCCGGAAGAAAAACAACTAGAACAAACCTCCTCTCCCTATAAAACTATTACGTTAAAATAGAAGTTTGAAAAAATAATTTCCTAAGGAAAAAAAACCAACCATACAGCATAAACCCACTTCACATTAAAACAGGGAGAGAAGCCCCTGTGTGTGATTTCCTTCTAATGATTCCATCTCAGCTAAAAAGGAGACTATTTAAGGCAGGACACCAGGCCATGTAAATGCATCAGGGATCTATGGCTTGCTTTCAGGACTCAGAATCACCCACAGTATCTCTTGCTGGCAGCAGGCTGACAACTGAGCACAGAAGCAACGACAGTAGAATAATTCGAGCATTAAGCACACAGATTTGCATAACCATAGTATCATTATTTCAAAAAGCCAACCCCAAATATGAAAATCACTGCAGCTTTATTCACTATGACAGAGATCAATATAAAATAGTCATTAGTAAGAAGAGGAATAGTAACAATGAGAAGTGGACACCTCAAGTCAGACACTGGAGACTGCTCACAGGGAAAGAAAAATAATAGCAGCAACTTTTCAGGACCCTCTACACTCCACTTGGTTAACAACATTCCAGTTTAGTGTAAAGCTAAATACCTTGTACAGGAAAAAAAAAAAAAAAAAAAAAAAAAAAGGTGGAAGCTTGCACTGTTCATGATTTCTTAAAGGCTCACTGTTCAGAGATTAGCAAGAGTTTTTTCCAAGGACTCTCCAAATCCTTTTTATCTAATGGCTTAACAGTGGTCCAATTAAGTCTCTTCTATCAGCTTCTTAACTTCTAAGGCTAATAGTTTTAACTGAAAGTACTTGAACTGTTCAGTGGAAGTAAGAGGCAAGGAAAATAAATAAAATTTCTCTGTTCAAACAGTAAGGGAAACAACCAAAAAGAAAAAGCTTTTTCTGCTATTTGCTGTTAAGAGCTACACACAAGAGAGTCCTTCCTACTTGTGTTTTATGCGAAACAGCACTAAGACACTGTAACAAAACTCAATGTAATAAACCTCTAATTCAGTTTTAAACTGAATGCTCTTATGTAGCCATTAGTTTTAAGGTTAATTGTGACAGTCATTTGCAATGGTTAACAATACAGATGTGTAAAACTGGGTTTTTAGAAGCTTTGGAGTTTGATTATCTATCATAATTTTTTCAAGGACAAGGAACTAATCCACCTTGAAAACATAAAACTGTCTGAATAAATATCTGCAATGCATTTGAAGAGAGAAAGCCTTTAGAAAAAAAGAATTTCTACTTTTATGTAAGTGACAAAAAGGCTAATTAGAAACAGCTGGAAAAAAGATTATTAAAGAAATATTTAAACCTACTTATAAATATAAGGCATATTCAATTGGTTGCTAACTATATTTTCTTGAGTAACTAAGACCAACTATGACTTGGTCTTAGAAAGCAAGGCAGATCAGTGGTAAAAGTGGACTCTTTTGTACAGCTTGAGGAAAGCAAATGCATGGTTAATTACATGAAAGCATACCTGGGTCCTACAGCTTTGATACTTTTATAAGAGCCATTGTGGACTGACCTCATATCACCAAAAATTCTTCAAACTGAATTTGAATTTTCATTTGATTAAAGAGAATGCAGTGACCCAACATGACACAGTATTTAAAAAAGGAACCAAGCATTGATGATTTTGTCTCAGCAGGACTTGAGAGAGTACCTTAGGGTCTATATACAGGAAAGGTTTGTCCAAATACCTTAGTAAGCAGTAATGCCTAAACCAGAGCAGCAGGGATCTGGAGTATTATGGAAGGGCTTTGTACTGCACATAGGTAGTGGCAGGCTATCAATTTTCTCTGCTTGGAGAACTGAAACCATCCTGAATGCATGATATATGTAGCTTCTTTGGATGGGAAGAAGTGAATCTATTTGTGTTTACAACAAATTTCTATTAATTACTTTTCTGAGAATCAAATTAAGAATACAGTTATTTGTCCCATAGCTGTCCTGTACAATTAACATTTGACCTCTTCTGAACTCTTCTGAGCTCATCTGAACTCTTTACATTTGAGCTATTTTCTGAGTTTAACCCTCAGAAAATAAAAGGATCACAGTACACTAATTCACACTCTTAATTATTTAAAAAAAAAAAATTAATTAATAAAAATACATGGTTTTATGAACTGGTTCAATCTCTTCATGTAATGCCCCTGGATACAAGCACAATCCTCTCTAAAATGGAATGAGCAGAGGTAGGCCTAAAGGAATTATAACAAAGAGCTGACATCTCAGTGCAAATTAACTTCATGTTCATCTTTTAACAAGCAGTGCTTCACCAGATTTTGGCCAAACTCCATACCTGCTTACACAAGTGACATACTCCCTGCTTATAGTTAGGAAAGTGGTCTCAGGGGAAGCAGTGAAAAGCAGTACATTTACAAATGTTAAATATACAGATGCATTGCCTAATTAACTGAATTTCCACAACCGTTTTTTTAAAATCTCTCTGTTATGTGCTTTCCCAGATAGTATTTTTTTTCTTAAAGTAATTGTTACATGTTTTCCACATTGCAGCTGTCTACTTACAAACTAATACTTCTGTCCAATTGCTGTAACAATGTCTAAAAAATCTTAGCTGCAACACATGCCTCAACTCATTACCAGTAACACACTGACAAAGGATGAAACTACAGTTCCTGATGGAGAATTCAAATGAAACAGTCCTTCAGGAGTTCTGAAATATGCACTGTATGGTACACTGCTAACATCTGGCGAGACCAATTAAAAGGGCACAACAATCTTTTCTTGCTATTGTGCTTTGCAGATGCTGAATTTTGTGGATGTTTGATTTGTATAATAGAATTAAAAAGAAGGGCAAACGTGGGTCTAGATATGCGTATAAGGAGTTTCACTTACACTGAGTTCTCAGGTGCCTTAACACCCACCTTGCACCTACACAACAGAAATCTTAAACAGGTCTTAACTGATAACTCAAAATTTGATCTCACATTCATTCGAGGAACTAGGACAGAGATCCAAACCACAGAATGGCCACTCCTCCTTTTCCTGGGTAGATGCAAACAGACAACTAGAACTCCATGATCCAATACCTAAATTTCTTTAAGACTCTTATCTTGTTCTGATTTTATAAACAGAAGCATTATCACTATTTTGGCTAGTGTGTTATGTGCTGCTTCATCACTTGCTCTTTTAAAATCAAATCAATGTTCCTCTAAACAGAGCAGTAGTTATGCTACTCACAGCTCACAGCTGAAATAAGGCTTGCAATGCAAATATAACCCAGAGATTCTGTTCAAAAGAATTAGTTTGCTTGTAATAGAGTATTATTTTACTGAACAGCAAACTCTTACCAATGTATCAGCTGTGACCGTCAACAAAATTAAAACAGGCTTCAGTGGTGAAACACTCTTTTCATTTGTTTTCATGCATTCCTGTGGGCTGGGCCAATTATGCATCTGAATTTAGCACATTGACACCTACAAGCATTGACAATTGACATGTGAAAAGTTTAGCTGTTAATGTTTTCAGCTGTTACACCAGTTTAAGGGCACAATTACTGCCACAAACTATTCTGAAGCACACAAAGTCTTTGAGTCCTAGTACTTGCTAAAAAAGTTAACAGCACTGTTATTGCATGGAAATGAAGTTCAAAACTGGTACCAGTGTCTGAAAGTTACCTTCTGATGGGCTTAGCTTGTAATATGGCTCGCACAGACACAACTCCACGGTTCTTGCTAAAAAGCAATTTGCAGAATTCAAACTTAAGACCCAAAGTTTTTGTGTAGACATGGCCAATCTGTCTAACGCTGAACGTTTACACCACATATATAAATATCAAGTATGATTACCTTCTTCAGTTGAGTTTCCATCTTCAAACATTCTTCCTTTTTCTGTTCCAAGGCAATTTCTAGTGTCTTGAGTCTTGAATCTTTCTTCAGTCCTGATGAAGCTAAGGATGAAGCATGTTCCTTCAGATCCAGTAAGGATGACTAAAATAAAAGATGTAAAATAACTATCAAGTAAATGCTCATGATGTGCAATAGCTGGTTTCTTTTTTGTCTTTATTTTCTTCCTATCCCTTTGCGCTATATTCAGGATCCAACATAGAACAATAATGGATTTTGCTGGATGCTCGTGTCACCGACTTAAGACAGCTTGATTTAATTCAGGTTTTCAGGACCAAAAGAACACCCTGTCTGAAATAAGTTAAAAATAATTTTTAAAGTAAAGTTGGTTTAAAAAAAACCTGTATTTAAAAATCATATGTGGATAGCAGATTTGGCCACTGTATGCACAACTGAGAACACTCAAAGCTTTTCTGTATGCCGTTGCTATAATGTAACTGATTTATGCTACCTATCTCCAAAAGACATCCCAACTTCTTCTCTTCCAGACCATTTCTGTGCTGTTTTTTTCCCTGTCAAATGTTGACTTCTGCATAGACAAAATCTTAGCACTTTCTGGGTGCATATTTTTTGTGTTGTTTTACTTTGATTAAGTTTTGAACAAAGACTGTAAGTAGATTTGAATGCTGCAGTTCCAAGAGTGGAACAGAGAATGTCTATTTTTCTGTAGTATAATTATGTTAATTTGCCTAGCCAAATGGCTCATTACCAACAACCAACTTAATTATCAAAAAAGGACTCTTCAGAATCTAAAGAACTAGCTGTATTGTTTGCATAAAGGAATAAAGATTATGTGCATGTTGTAGGCACTCATAGCTTTGAGCAACTTCTGTGCTCCCCTCCCTCCATTTAGACAGGAACAAGCTTGTTCTCTGTCTGCAGTTGTCTATAAGCAAAGCATCAGTAAAGGCTACCACTGACCATCAGTCATTCACTACTACTATGATTAACTGCTGCAAATAAGGGGACTGTGCTATCCAGGAAAAGGTGTTCTGAAACACTAATGCTTTGAAAAATTCTCAAACGATATATTTTACTAGATAAGCTTGTTGAAGGACCATTACTATAAAAGAACAGTTTTCTTGATCTCAAATATAACACACATACATGCAACAAACAATTCTAACATAACAGATTCATTCTGCTGGTCAACCTCTTTCTCTGTGAGATCTCCTTGTAAAACGCTGACTTTTTCTTTCAGGTCCTTAATGTCTTTTTTGTAGTTGTCGATCTCTTCCTGTTTTTCTCGTTCATCTCTGTCACGTTGCTCCTTCAGGCGCTCAATGGTCCTTTCCTGACCAAAAGAAAGAACTCTGTGAAGACAATCCCTCTTAACTCCTGAGACTTCTTGTCACAACACTTTTTACACACTGTGGCCAAGGAGGAGAAGTGTGGGATATTGTTCTGGGTTTTTTTTTTTTTTTTTTCTTTATGGTTGTAAAAACAGATCCTCATGGATCATCAAGAAGGAGGAAACTTGAGAAATCTATGAACTCATTGCTAAGAAACACCAGGCCTTCTGTATCTCTGAAAGCTCATGGTACCGTTACAATGCAACACAATTTACCTGGTTCTGATAATCAGAATTAAGACAGACTGGCATACATTACATATTTCTTCCTTACTTGTTTAAATCTTATTTTTCTAAAATGTCCAGTTAAGTCTGTGGTCCTTCAGGAAGGAAGAGGTGTAGTGCATATGTGACAGCAGGATTGATACACAGTAAGAAAAGGCAACCAAACAACTTTTCTGTACACTGGATATCAATGGAGTTTTGGTTATCTTGGAAGCTGAAGGGATGCAAGCAAACTCTCCAACCTCAGGCAAAGTTTTATCATGGCTTTACATTTCTAGAATCTGCCAGACTGAAGGAGCTGTAACCTTGGTTCTCTGGGAATCAAGAAGAAATACACAGTAAACCCAAAAAGTTGCTCCACCAAAACAGAACAGACAAAGCTGTTCCCTCAGTCAGCTATCTCCCGAGAATTAGACAAATATAAAAAAATGTTAGTTATCAGCATAGCTATTCATTTTGATTAAGTATTGGGAACTAAAACTGTTTCACACAGCAAAACTTAAAAAAAAAAATCTCAGAAAAGAAAAAAATTAACTAAGATCTTAGTCAAACTTTAAAAAAAAAAGGAGGGAGAGCAAAAGCTGGAAGGATCCAGAGCTGAAATGTAAGGCATCCCACAACCACACCAAAGAGGCATTATGCAAAGAGATGACAACAAGAGACCATCACTTGCTTTCACACTAAAGGATGGTAAGCATCAAATGACTAGAGCAATAGGTTGTGGCTCAGCTCTACCTGGGTTGTCAGGCGTCGGAACGTGCTGCTCAGGGAGGTGGTTGAGCCACCATCCCTGGATGTATTTAGAAGCCATGTAGGTGCAGTACTTGGGGTATGGCTTAGAGGTGGACTTAGGAGAGTAGGGCTAATGGTTGGACTCGAGCACAGTGGTTCTATGATTCTGCCCTCACGCCCTCCTCCCGGCAGAGAAGTGGTGCCCTGGGCTGGCTGGCTCCGCGTATCCTGCAGTGCCCTCTAGTGAGGGACCCACCTCGGCACCATCCACACTCCCCAGTTCCTCCTCGGCCGTTAGACACAATGGATGACACTGAGATTTCTTGTGCACAGAGTGCAGGAAACACACGGAAAAGCCGACTTTAGAGCTTATTGGTACAAGGACCTTGAGCTTTCCATACTCACTTTTTCTGCCAGTGCTTCTTCCAGCGTCGTCAAGGCAGTGTCAGTATTTGTGGTGTCAGCCTGCAAGGATTTCACTCTATCCTTTAAGCTGCTCATTTGCTTCTCCTTGTCTCTTAATTGTTCTTGAAGATTTTCAATCTTAAAGAAGAAGTGTCAATTTTAAGACAATGGCAAGCAAAAGCATCCAAACTCATCTTAGGTGTGTATTAAACTCTTAAAAATGTTTTTAAAGCAAAGGAAGTAGGCAAGACCTAGTTCCTACAATCTTATATCAAAACATCAAGCAACGCAACACAACTCGTCAAATATTAACAAGGAATCAGCAACCTTTCCAATGATCAAGAAAGAATTTAAAGCAAGAAAGTCTAATATTTACAAAATCAACATTCACAAAGGGTATTATTCCTAATTTCCGAAGATGTCGGGCACTATGTGACTAAAGGGTGATCAACATATTAGCAATATGAAAATAAAAAACCTGAGAAAAATATTACTGTGTATATAAACCAAAAAAATGCACTTCATAATTAACAAGTTATGAAAAAAGTGTTATTTTAAGTATTTCCTTTGGTACTGTCATATTCTTTACTGTACTGACATGTTGTTTTTTCACCCTACATGCTGGTTTGCTATATGATGGATTAACACAAAGTGCTATTCCCTGGGTAGAAAATATATCAGCTTTGCTTTATGTGGGTACAGGATCTGATCGGTTTACGAGTTCTGAATACATCTTTTGACAGACTGAGAAGACCTAATGCTAAACCCATTTTATGCACACATACACAAGAAACAGACATATTAACATTATAATAACCTGTTGAAAACAAATTTATCAGCAAGATTAAACTGGGTACAGGTTTTTCAGTTGTTTCTTTTTGTTGTTATTGCTGACAGGTTCTTCTTGCATCTGTGAATGTACATCATAAGCTGGTGAATGATGTGGGCCATAAGGTACCTATCCTCAAAACACTTGTATCAAGATTTTCTTTCAAAGACATTTGTAGGAAATAGTGTAACCAGACAATCCCAAAGGAGATCTAGTCCAGTATTCAGTAAACTAAAGGACAGCATTAACTGGCCTTTTTGCTTCACCTGTCAAATAGCAGTTAGTGGAAATACTGCAACAATGCCCAGGCTTTACTCGTCAGCCCTGGAAAAACACAGCTGCTCTGATTACAGAGCAAATGGCTCTTTAGACACAACCACTACTACTTTGCTATCTCTATTAATATTATGTTTGGAACATAGTTTTAGAAAATGGGATAGATACATAATGATAAAATGTAAAGGATTTTGCAGAAGGCTGAATATCTAGTCACAAACAATGGCAGATGTGTTACAAATGGAAGTTTGGAGGAAAACAACCTAATTCAGGAAAACCCTTGCTAATGTTCCTTTGTAACCCATGGCCATGGATGGAGGTGTCTGGTGTAAGAGTACTCATACCATTTTTTGTTTCATTTCTCTTACGCAAGCACATGTAAACTTACAATCAATCTTTGTACACAATCTGTATATTACTGACAGAAGAACGATGCAAGTATTTTGTTGTTGTTTAAGAAGTGGACTGAAATTGTTCTTGGTTTATCTTCATCATTATTTTGTATTAGAAAAAAAGTATTACACCTCCAAGTTATGGTTAAAATTTAAATTTGGGCACGATACAAACAACACTACAAAATACACTTTAAAGTGCACTCAAACCCCATGACCAGTAGTATATCACGCAAGTCTGAAATAACTGTAGGAATTGAAAATTCCTTCTTTATGAACTCATATCTAGTATTTAATAACTTGTTAACATACGCTTGTTAGCATGGAGCTTCAGAAAGAATTCTACCAGTTCTGACTCAAAAGTTTTCCTGGCGCCCACACATACAGCTACGGCGGAGGTAACATCCCCAGGAGCAGCCTATGTGGCTGCTTTTGACCTTACCAGCTTTCAGTGTCGTCAGCTGTCTAGACAGGCTGGCTGTTTAGACAGTCAACCATGAAAATATACTACAAAGAAGGCCGAGCTATTCTTAGACTTGTGTTTACTTCTGGAGGTGAAACACTCACAAAGGCTCCAACTGGCTGTAGAGGGGATAGTGCAGAGTGACTTTCTGCAGTGAGCAAACCACACACAAGAGACAGCTAAATAATTCAGCTTCAGCACACACCAAAATGCTTGCCAAGGCAGCACAAGCATTTGCACAAGCACAGCATGCATTTTCATGTTTCAATATTATTTACTGCGACCACAGTAAGATCACAGCTGCATGACATATAACTGCTACACCTTCCTATTGCAACTGCACCCTCCTGTATACAAGAAAAATTAAATGTAATGTGTAGAAAGTGTGAATCTGTCTACTCTTTCAGGCTACAAGCATACTTTTCAGTCTGGAGTAATGATGTTTTTGCTATCATCCAGTCAACAGCAGGTACACTGAAAGGTTCTAAATCATACTAGTATATAGGCACCACCCAGAAAAATCATTCTACCTACAACTGTGCCTTTTGCAAAGCCAGATAACCGATAGTCCCCACACAAGGGCATGACTTTTAAACTACAGAAAACTGGAACTGGCACCACGTGTCAAAACTGAAGCATTTGTATAATAATAGATGCAAAATTTCCTTACAAAATCACAATCAACAATAAAATAATCGTCTTTATTCCATTTCTCTCCCAAACCTGCTCTGCTATAACAAATAATAACTAAACTATAGGTACTCCAAAAACAAAGAATAGTCTATACTTTGTCCATATAGGTAATTACTGAAGAATTTTTTTTTATGTTCTTACAAATAGTTTGAGAATCCTTTTAAAAAAGAATAAGATCATATTTGTTTTACCATCCTTTTTTCCTACTCGATCCACCCCTCCAAAAAAAAAAATAATTATGAACAAATTCTCTCCAAATTGAGAAAACAAACCAAACCAAACCACCAACAAAAACAAATAACCAAAATAGGGCCTTTCTTTTCTCCTCAAGAAATGACAAAATAAAATGCAATGCAATCTCCAGACCTTCTGGAAAGCATAAAAAGGGACAGGGATAGAATAAACACTGTTTATTCTTGGAATATTCAGAAATATCAGGAATATTCTTGAAATAGTCCTCTGAAATTTTCTACAAACCTAAGGAATATGTTACTGTACGATTTTTCTAAAAATAAAAAATAAATAATGTATATTATTGTTAGATTATTAACAAATTTTATTTTTGCCATATTTACTTAGTTTACAGGGTGAAGACAGCACTCAGTAGACAAGTTAGTAACACTAAGCTTACTGTAAAGGTACACATATGTGCACTGGAATCATCTGGTCTGCATACCAATTTCCTCATCAGCAATCATTTTCTGAAATCTTTTTTTACAACATTACCAGCTGTCAGACACTATCATGTTTCAACCTGGGTGATTTATTCCTAGTTGTGTGGAACTAATTATTTTGCCTTCCAGCCCTGAAGCACAGGAGCAGTTTCCTCTGGCATTCTGTTCCAAAGGCAAGGAAGCACTCTACTTTTTGCAAGTACCAATCTCACTGAGAATCCCAAGAAAATGCAAATCAAAAAACAGCCCAAGGATTTAAACAAGACATATCTAGTTTAATGCTCTTCAAGGCCACTAGGTTCCCAAAACCCTCTAGTTACTAGGAGATCCTTTGTATCATGCCTCAATGAAGAAATCCTTCCTTTGCCAACCCCAGGGTATGTGGAAATTGAACAATTTCTATTGTAGCAGTGACTTCTAAATTTGTGAACTGCTCATTCAATCTCTTTTTTCCCCTTCCACCCTGTTATTGGAAAGGAACTATTTCCTCCTTCAAAATATTTATTTTTAATCAAAGATCAGCACTTTACAATGATAACTTTTTTTATCACTTGGGTTGTAATACAATTAACTTCATTTATGTTTCATTTCCCACTTTGAATCTTCTTCTTGCTACTCTGTTTAACTTAAAAAGGAATGAAGAGATGAAAGAAAAAAAAATCTAAGTTAAAAGACCTTTAACTTAGTTCATTCTGAGACAATAAGGAAAAATGTGAAAAAATCCTCTTAGAAATATGAAGATCCAACGAAGTTTGGAAATATTTTAAAAATGAAAAATGCGTATTTTATATTCAGAATATTTTTCAACTTCAGAAAGTTCATTGCATATTCCACTGTTTGTGTGTAACTACAATACCTAGTAACTAGCTATATTACTTACCTGCAGACAAATCTTTCACTGTAATTTTTCCTATAAACAAGTAAAAATGTCTTTGCTTATACTCTGCACTTGACCTCTCCAGTGCAGCTCCACAAAGAGTGCTTTGACTGGTAACATGACAACTTCTTCACACTATACATTGAATATACAGAAGAGAATCAATTTAACACTTGATAAGATTCCTTGATGGAATTACAAGACCAGATATACCAAAGAATATCTCAGGATACTGTTAAGCCTCCCACTTTTTCAATCCTAGCTTTCATTCAACTGAAGCAGTACTGTAAGAAGGATCTAAGTAATTAGGTGGGTTGAGAGGTTTTCTGTTCTACTCCTGTGGCATAGCCATCCAAATAAAGAAAAACTTCACATGGGCTGTGAGCTTTCCAAATACTTCTTCCTTGGTTTTGTGAAAGTACTATCGGTCATGTCAGCTCAAGGGTGAATGACTCCAAAGAGATGATGGATTCTCACCAACCACAGGCAAAGGTGATTCTGTCTGTGTCAGCAATATTAACACGGGGACAGAAAAAAGGCACTATGGAAGAGAGAGTGGGTAAATGAGTATGTGATGACAGAGCAGCTACAATTCTGTCTAGTGACGTTTTTTCTAGAATATTGAGATGTATCTGAATTCAAGAAATTTTTTTCCTGAAATGCATTAATGAGAGGTTACCTTAAGTCCTGAGAGACTGTTCAAGAAGGCTATACTAGAGGATTTGCAAATATCACTGTGTTTCTGGAAGCTAATTTTATGGAGACTGTAATGAAAGCCTATAAGCAAATATCACTGGTGTGTTTTATAAGATTAAGCTCCTGTTTTATAAATGTAACACTGAAAATCTGATTATTACAATTATCTTTCCACTGCAGATCTTGCTAAAATACCATTGCAACAGTCCTGCATGAATTGCAAAAATCTAAGTTTAGT